TTCAAAGATATGTAAGAGCGAGAATCAGACTCGTTAAGTCAAAACAGTTTTAAAAATATTTTTTTTCTTCTTTCTAAGATATGACTTAATATTTTAATAAATAAATTTTCTTTCTTTAAAATAAAAATAACAACATTTATTTTTATGAGTTAAATAAATACTTTTCAAAATTATAATAAATTTACAATTAATTTAAAGTAATCGTTATTTAAATGGGCGTTATAAGGTGCTAACACCTTCTCTACACTTAAATGACTCTCAAATCTATTTTTAGTTTTAAAGATCAAAATTTTAAGTTTTTTCAAGGTTTCATTTGATAAACTTTGGTGGTGACTCTACTGATTTTTCTTAAAAAATATTTTTGTTGTACCATTGCGACCGCATGGTTGGGACAGGTGACCACTTGGGTGTTGCGCCTATATTGGCACAGGTTGCTACCCAGTTTTACTAGCAGAGTATGCACTAGGATATTAAATCATATGTCCAACAATGTTTAATCTACTAACAAGTCAAATCATCCACTACTTTACCCGCAGAACTATTATAGCCCATCCCTATCCTTCAATAGATTTGGGAAAACTTGACCATGAATTTTATTGTTGGCCTTCCCCCGTCTTATGGCTTCACAGTGATCATGGTTGTCATTAATCGTTCTCTTTAAATACGCACATTTATCCACGCTTAAGGCAAATTATTCAAGCAAGCAAGTAGCTGAAGTATTTATGAAATTTATTGTGAAGTTGCATGGGATACCAAAGTCAATAGTCTCAAACCGTGATAGAGTCTTTACAAGTAATTTTGGCACCAGCTCCTTAAGCTAAGTGGCACTACCTTAGCTATGAGTACTGCCTACCATCCACAATCTAATGGTCAGTCTGAAGCTCTTAATAGATGCTTGGAGATCTATTTACGATGCTTCATGGTTGATGATTTGAATGGCTAGAGTAAGATGCTTCCATAGGCAGAATAATGGTATAGTACTTCCTTCCAAACCAATATTAGCATGACACCATTCAAAGCGATTAATGGGAGAGACCCTCCTAATCTTCCTAAATATGTAAGGGATGTCACTAAACCCCCTTCGTTGCAAGAAATGTTCTTGCATCATGATCAAGTACTGTTATGTCTCAAGTAAAATTTGATGAAAGCATAGAATCTGATGAAGAAATATGCAGATTAGAAACAAGTTCATGTGGAGATCTAAGAAAGAGACCTTGTGCTAGTTAAACTCCAACCATATCGACAGCATTCATTAGCTCTTCGCAGAAACCATAAGCTTAGCCTTCATTATTTTGGTCCGTTTCCAAAAATGAAAAGGATTGGACCTGTTACTTACAAATTATCATTGCCTCCTACAATGAAGATCCACCCATTTTTTCATGTTTCTTTATTAAAATCGTGCAAAGGAGAACATCAACAATAATATCTACCTTTGCCATTTCTCACAAATGAATTTGGTCTAGTTATCCAACCGCTTAAGGCGTTACAATCCAGAGTCATTTTCTGAGAGAATCAACATATACCTCAAGTACTTGTCCAATGAGAAAGGTTGGATATCTCTAAAGCTACCTAGAAAGATGTGCTCACTTCGCAAATTGAGTATCCTAATTTCAACTTTAAGGACAAGGTTGATTTTCATGGGAGGAGAAATGTTATGAAGAGAGTAAAAGAGACTTCATAAATAGAAGCAGCTACATGTAATGAACGTGTAGAGGACGTGGGACCCAATAGACACATGGTAAAGAGAGAAAAAAACAAGGCTAACGGCAAGAGTGGAAGAAAAAGAATAGTCAATTTTACATTGAAGGATTTCGTGTGAGAGACCACGCGATTATAAAAGAAATATTGCTAGAAGAAAAAGTGTGTGGGTTGTGTGATTTGTCTCTTTCTCTCTCTTAACCTTTTTAGAATATTTGTATGTCATTTTCTTTTCTTTTTTCTGCAACTTCTGTTTTTTTTTTTTTTGTAATTGCTGACAATTTATTGCTTCAGTATTTTCTTATGATCTGAAATTCTAAATTTCATAATACAATACAGGTTGTTTAACTGTTACTTTTTCTTTGCTGTTTCATTGATTAATTAAGCACATTACATGTATATTATATATTAAAAAATAATTATTTAACTATAAAACAAGCATCCCATGATAAACGGCCATTAACCCAAATAGCTGGATTGTTCACGAATGTTCAGTACTTCGACGCCCCACTTCATTTAGCTGTTGCAGTGTTTGCAGGGGGGGATCAGTAGCAGCTTGAAAGTACAAAATCTCACCAAGTAATCAATGGCTCAAGTATATTCATGCATGGATTTAAGATAAGTGTTGGGTCTACGTCCCCCCCCCCCCCCCCCCCAATTTATTTTGGAAAATAAATCTTATTAGAAAGTTAAGCTTTTTAATAAGTAAAAGTTGAGTGGTTGGAAACCATTGATTTAATTTTATGGTAAACCAATGGCCAAGATTTATAGTTAAAAAAAAAAGCACTTGATGGTACAATACCGTTATCATACCTAGCACATAAAGGGTAAAAGTGTAAAATTGAGATTGTGAAAACAAAAGATGGATATTGTGTACAATGATAAAAAAAAAAAAAAAAAAAAAACACTTGTAATAAATACAAAGAGTACTCCACAGACTAAAACCTATGACAAATGACAGAGGAATGCATAACCCAAACATTTTGGCAAAGACAAAGAGTAATAGTAAATTATTGAAGAAACAAGAAAAAGAGCAAAGTTAACGAACGAATTTAAAGAATGCACACACACGTAAATGGAACAAATTTAGATATTTTGCTTCCTTCGCTAGGGGGTCTACGAGCACCTAGTATATAGTTTTTGGTTTTTGCCTTTCCATTAGAACCATTGTAGAAGATGAAATGTAGTTAGGAGAAGATAGAAAGTAAAAAAATGTTACTTTCTAAATAAGAGAATCGATGTTAAAAATAGTATTTTTTTACATTTTTTCTACTTTTTATCTTTTTTTAACTATGTTTCATTTTCTTTAAAGAATCAATGTAAAATATAGTGAAAATTTTTTAGTTTTGGTGTTTTTCCTTGTAAACTTTGAAGGGACATAATTTTTAACATATAATTCAAATTTATACAAATTATATATTCATTTCATATAATTTTTTCAAGATCTATTCATTCCAAATACTTAAAGGAGATTTGAAAAAATTAAATTCTAAAATTTTAACATTTTTTTTGTGTAAAGAATTATGTTATTTCTGAATCTTTGATAATGCTCAACTGCGTAGTCATTAGTGGAAGTAAAGAATGAGCAAATCCATGTCGTATGAACAAAATGAGAATAAAAAAAGAAGAAAATGAGAAAGACAACGAAGAAGGAACAAGAATATATACATAAAATTATTAATTTATATTTTTATAAATGTAACTTATATCACGGGTTTTATATATTTTATTTTAAACCATCCAATTTTAATCAATAATTATAAAGTTTAAAAGCTTTTGAAAAAGATATCTTAATAATGAAAGGAAAAATATAAGAGTCACTCTAAATTTTGTCATACTTTTTATTTCCCATAAATATCAACGATGTTCATAATTTTATTATTAAAGTTATATTTTTAGTTTTTTTTTTATATAGATGTATCTTATTATTCTAATGTATTTATAAGTTTATTAATTTAAATATTTTTATGTTATTGTCATTATATATTATCCTTTCTATAAAAATAAGTTTTGATTAACAATATGGTAGAGGATATAATAAAATAATTTATTTATTGCCTTCTAATTAAATTAAAAAATATAAAAAAACCAATTCATCCAATCTAAATTACTTTTAATCCAATTAAATTGGATTTGATTTAAAGTTTGATTCGAACTAAGTTGTGACTTATAAATAGCAAATAATTTTAAAAAACAGGCAGAGATAAGAGCATATTTAAATAATAATAAAAAATTCTAGAGGGGGTGGATACAAGTTCAGGTTACACGTGATTCCGATCAAACCAAACCGACACAAAGAAATCGAATTGCTTTGATTTGTTGGATTAGTTCACGTCCATTTTATACCAACACAACGTGTGTATGTGTGTGTGTGTTTACTTCAACTACCAATGTGTTCAATTCAAACATCTTAAGAAGATATCCGATAATAATCGAATCCCTTCATTCCTTTTTTTTCATAATTATTGTTATGTCTACTACCCTAACCAAAATCAATTTTGATTCTTCAATTTCAATCCTCCAGACCTACAAACCTTATTTATTTTGTATATATTGTTGACAACCCCTTTTGTCTCCTATCGTTGGCAGTTGTTCCTTCCACTGTTATTTCCATTTTCGCTACTCGTGAATCTGAAAGTACTTTTATTTGACAAAAGCATATTAAAATGGTGTTTAATTGTATACTTAAACATGCCCTTTTATCTATTCTTCTCTTTCAGAAAAATAAAATAAAAAAACAGGAAAATAGTTACTGACTTGATGTACTATTAATATATACCGTAAAAATTTTATATTAATAGTACATAAAATTTAAATTCATTATTATTATTATATGCTCAAATGATTTATTTTTACTTTTTTTATTCATTCGTTATATTTTTTGTCTATTTTTTTTCTCTTAAATTTTATATATTCAAACACATTTTTCTTATGTAATTTATATTCTATCCCACTTCTTCTCTTTTTTCTCCACATTTTATTTCATTCCGACGAAATATAAATCTTGCCTTTTAATTAAAAAATATAAATAATTACTGTTGAAATTTCCTTTTTATGTTAATATTTTCCTCAAGTTTCAGTTACTTGCTCTTTTAAAATAATTCCAGTTTATAACTTATGCCTTTTTTCCTCCTAAATCTAAACTATTTTTAATTGTTCACTTGTTAATTTAAATTAATTATATACTAAAATTTTAAGTATTTTCCCCTCTAATTAATATTAGTATTGTTAACATTTACCTAAACTTAAAAAAGTACCATTGTAAGGATACTTACTGGACACACGCAATAACATTGTCGATGCAGGGAAGAAACATATGATACCAACGATCAAAGCCAAATTGGTCCTAGTTCCAGTTGGCTAGAAATTTTAACAAAACCAATCCATCGAAAACATAATCAATATGGATATTATTTATCGAAGGACATATGCTGAACTGCATGCAGCCCTGAAAGGCAGTTATTTGGTATTCGATCGGTCATGGAAATTTGGTAAATCTAAGAAACTGTAATCTGATAGTGAAGAGACCTCATAATCCAGCCACAAATCTACCCATCTAACAATACAGAAAATCAAATCCTCCTCACAGAATGACTAGTACAATTATACTTGTGAAGAAGGTCATCTAAAAATATACAATGATACTACAAGCTGAGAATCTTCGTTTTGCTGTCAAAACTGCCATTCCCACTTTCAGTGAATTGCCAAAATCTGAATTATTTTATTGCCGATATTATACGACGGATCATTGAGCAAAATGCTCAGTTGACCATCACCGCAAGGCATTCACGAATGCCATCAATGAATCGACCTCTCTCTTTTCCGAAGGATACTTAATTGGGCGAGAAGAGTGTTTAGGGAAGAGAAGTATTGTGGGGAAGCTTCCCAGCTCCAGTTCACTCTTTGCATATTCTTTCTGATCTCCATCAGCTCTGAATTTCCCAACCTTCACTCCTGACCCTGCTAACTTCTCTGCCAAATCAACATATGATTCCTCCATAGCCTGTTAGAATTCACAATAAACATCTTATTAGAGAATGAAATTTTCAAACCAAATGAAATTTAGTTAGATAACCTTATCAGAATACCGAAGATCCGGGAATTCTATTTTACCTGACAGAAGCGGCACCATGGTGCATAGAGCACGACAAGCCATGGTTCTTTTCGGTCCTCCAATTTTGCCAAATTCTCAATTCCCGTCCTGCTCAAACTGACCACATTCTGGGAGTTGAAAATGTCAGTGACAATGGCAGAGCCATTTGTATGGACTGTTCCGTTTCCATTAAGCTGGGCAGCATCCTCCTGTTTTATATTACCTTTGTGAAGACCACACTCCTTAGCTTTGGCATCCTCCCACCACCATCTTCCTTCTCTTTCATGCTGTCCAGGTAAAACCGGCCTTGTGCATGGTTCACAGCCAATGGAAACGTACCCTTGGGAATGCAATGAATTAACAGGTACATTCATGGTCCTAAGGAAGTTCCATATGTCAAGCCCGTTCACATTTGCAACAGGGTTCCACTTTACCAGGCTACCAATTCCACCATTCATTCCCTCAAAAACTGGATCAACCTGGACAACGGGTATTTCAGACCTAGTACCAGGTGACTGATCTTTTCTCTGTCCAGTTATCCATGCTCTCAGACCCTTAAGGGCTCTCCTTAAAGGCCTCACCTTCCTTACTCGGCAGCATTCTTGATGCCCATCCTCGTAAAATGAGAAGAGGCCCTTAGTTCTAACTAATGCCTGAACCTCAACTGAATCAGGGAACATGTATTCAATGTGAATTCCATAATGCTTCTCAACTGCGTCAAAAAACTTGTAAGTTTCTGGATTCAGTCTCCCAGTGTCCAGACTGAACACCCTGTAGGGTCGACCAGTCAAATGTGCATACTCAATTAAAGCAACATCTTCAGCACCACTGCAAAGTCAAAAGATACTCATTAAAATCCAAATCCAGAGATAACGCAGTTACAAGTACCTACTATAATTTGCTATTTAGCGTCAGTAAGAGTCACAAAGATAGTTTGTGCTTCTTTGCAAGCTACAAAATTCTAGCTGCAACTTTTGAAATATAATTTGCAATTTAGCGTCTTAATGAACGAGCACACAACCCAGCAGAACAAATGAGCTCACAACCTAACAAAAAAGCAACAACTCTTTTATCGGTCATATGCTCCCTCACCAATAATTCGGCCCAAAAACCAATTCTTGAAGGTGTAATTCAAAAGGAACTATGATACCAATACTTCAAAATTATACTTCAAAATTGGTAACACATCTACGTCGTACCCGTACCTAACACCCGTTATGTCGATTATCGGGCTGCCTCAATATTAAAGCTTAAAATTGCATTATCTTTAAATCTCTTTTCCAATAGATAATAAAGGTTATATTAACATCGTTAGTGAGCTGAGTTTAATAATCTAAAATTATTTTTTATGAAAAAACATAAAAAATATTAATTTTTATATTTTTCTTCTAAAAAAATACTGCATTTAATTATAAGGAAGGTCAGCATTTTCCATAAAAGTATTATTATCATAACTTAAATCTAATATTTTATTTAAATTTAATTGTACTTATAATTTTAATATATTTTCCAAGAAGTTAAACCTAAAATTTTGTCCTACCTTTATATTAGTTTTTAAATAATTATAATATTTTCATGTCGTATCTTGCCAGTTCCTATGCAACATAGGAATGCAACATGCAACAAAACCTTAATGTATGTTAAGAATCTACCTGAAGGCAATAGCGATGTCGTTGCCGAAATTTTCCAGGGCCCTATCAATTATTTCGAGAGGAGAAGCATTTTCAAGGTCTTTCGCCAATTGCCCATAATCTTCCTCCTCCTTCTCGGTAACCTCTGCAAATCCAGCATTATCGCACATCATAACACGCTTCAATTGCATCCAATTAAAGGATAAAAAAGAAGAATCCCCCCCCCCCAATAATAAGGGAATGTATTGATAACAGAACACGGGAAACATACCAGGAGCAACGATAGTTGTTGCACGAGGAACAACAGAATCCTTGCGTTGAGGTTCCGCGTTCAGTGGCCTCACGGATGATAGCCTTTGAGTTAAATTAACAACAACAGACGAAACATGAGGTCTCTCCGAAATCCGAAACGAACCAATTTGTGGAGCTGAAAACAGAAAATGCACGGATTAATGAAACCCTAACACATGAGAAATCTCGCCTCAAAAAGAGCGGAAAATTCAGATAAGGAAATTTGAAATGAGGAAAGGGATCGGCACCTTTTGTCTCCGACGAAGATCCGAGACGCGAGAAGAAGGAACATGATGTTGCTGCAGAAGACGAAGAAGTGGTAGTAACGGCGAGAGCCATTGGAGAATGAATCTAAGCTAAGAAATTCAAGTGTAGAACCTGTTGATTTTTCTAAGGAACAACAGAGAGAAAGAAGGTTACAATATAAAGAGAACTACAATTGAACCTGGACGCAATTCAAGCTCTCTTCGTTATGCTTACGTGGCTCAAACCTATTGGGTGGAATGGAACCAGTGGCGCGTGGCTTCTATTCGGTTGCGCGGCCAACTTAGACTTAGATGTCACTTCTAAATTTTCATCATCTTCCCAGATTCTTCTTTTCAGTATTCCCTTCTTTCTTTTTTATTCTCTTTTTTTTATAATATACAAAATGTAACGTTATTAGTTGCCTAATTTTGGTATTATTAGAAATTATAATTATTATTTTAAAAATTTTGACAAGCACTATTATGCCTATCGATTCACATTGCTACTTACAGCTAGTTCAAGATTACATGTTACTTACAGCTAATATTAATAAAAAGTGTTTAGGATTAAATAAATTAAAAGTTTGAAAAATGTTATAAAAAATATATAAATTTTATTAATTAAAATAGTTTCCGAAATTTACACTGAAAATATGATTAAAAAAACTTTTTTGTATCATTTATCCGCACCATATATATCGAATACATGCATATTTATGTCCCCTTCCGATTTTCTTTTGTATTATTCCCCTTTTTTACCATTATTTTGCCTTCGGTGCCCCTATCCCTATTTATTCCAATTTGGTCCCTGTTCATGGATTCCCCACCGCCCTTGTATTTCATTATTTTCTGATCACCAACTTAATTTTTTTAGTGCAGTACCTTTTTATAAAAATAAATAAATTGTGATTGGCAGTAATTGAATTTTGCGCACGATGGATTCAAGCCACCGGCTAGCTATGAAAAAGATACCAATCAACATGAGGCTGCAAAGCAAAGGAAGTAACCAACTTGCAAAATTATGAGAGGTAAGTTTCACGAACCAACAAAGAATCCATGATCTGAAGATGCCATTTTGCTCTTTATTACATATTTAACAATTTCAATGAATCGTTTGTTCAAGTGTTGAGGTTGGTACGAAGGTTCGCGGAATATAATGCCCTGTGCAGCCAAAAAGGTGCAAAGATAATATTTAGTAATTGAACTGATAAATAGAGTAGTCAATGATTTATAATATGTTTAAAACAAATTCAAATGAGCCATAACTTTTCGTGAGTTTATGCACAGTAGTAACGGTGTCAAATGAGTTGAATAAATAAATTTTAAAAATCAATTTATTTATAATTTACTCAATAAAAATTTATTTATTAATTATTTTTTATGGATGGATATATAATTCATCCATTTAAAGTATATTATATTATGTTTATGTACACTATTATATCTAAATTTAAAATGAAAAAGAAAACTAGTGGACGTGGGTGAACAATTGACTGGAACAGCTTCCAAAAACTAACCCTTGGGGATCCGAAAGGATTTATATTCATGCGGTGGGACCCATCCAACGCGTGGCCATACGCGCCACACCACACCACTTATATTTTATTTAAACAAGACAATTCTATGTTGCTTCTTCCTTTCCAAATAATAAATATCTCATTACATCCGTACCATAATTCATTTAGGAAAGTAGTTTTCCTTGTTTTATGTTATTTTCAAACGTGCACTACCTCCAACTGCTACCTCTCAAGCTTCGTATGTAATTCGAATCTCTTGCAAACGAAAAAAAAGAAAGATGTTGTTTATATGATTTTTATAAATATTTTGAATATGATTATATAGCTTAATATTTTATAATCGTCATACTTTTCGTCCACAAAAGATCAATTCAATATTAATAAAAGATTATTTTTTTAAGTAAAATATATATTATTAAAAAAAATTTAAGAAGAACTCAAAACTCATATATATATATATATATATATATATATATATATAAAGAAAAAAATTAATATTTATTCAAAAAATAAAAACATACTTATATAAAGTTAAGATGAAAGTAATTTTATAGGTTCAGATACTAATCTGTTAACAAAATAGTTTCTTCCTTACTACTAAGTAATAGTAATTTCTAAGACTTCAGAATAATAAAATCTATAACTTCTTTCTCATCTAAAACACTATTAAAAAATACTATTCTATTTCTATATAACCACAAAGACTACATTGTATTTATCCAAACAATTAATAAACACATCTCTTCTCTTTTACTGCAACCAATACCAACCTAAGAAAGCAAGTGAGTTGATAAATCTGAAGATAAAATCAGTGAAAATCTAAGCCAACGTGCCATAACATACTAGATTTGAGATGAAACTGAGCACGTTAAAAACAAATGAGTTAAAAGTTCCTCCAAATCATGACAAAAGCAACAAGTTATATCATCAATTTGAACACAACGATCAATCAGTAAACTTTTACAAGGAAGTGCATTCAACAACAATTGCCAAGAAAATATTAGACACTTAAGAGGGACCTTCCCTCTCTATAACTTTTGCAAGGCGTCTACCGTACATTGATCTATACTATTAGGATTACCAAAAAGTTCAAATAATCATGAATACGCAAATTGCATTAAATAACAACCTGAAAAATCTGCCTTCCATACCTATTTATCTTCTTGTTGGACTTTGATAGAAACTCTAGTGACAAGCTCTAACAAAAGATTAAAGCTTGAAATCTCATGTTGAAAGAGTTTTCTTCGCCAACTAACATCCTAAACCTACCTAGTGTCATCGTGAAAACTATTTTTCAATACATAAGATTCAACATTCCTCGTCACCGCAAACAATCGTAGAAATATCTCACACAATCGCACTTCACCTACCCACTTATCTTTCTAAAAAAGAGTGTGCAAACCTGAACCCATATTCCTATCCAACTTCTCATCTAACCATAAATTTCCTTGATTAATAACCTCCAGCAAATCACGTCACCACAAAGAACATATGTTGTGGACTAGTGGACGCTGAATAGCAGAAGCTAGTCTACCATATCTAGCTTTCAACACTTGCACCCACAATAAACTAAAACAATTAACACTTCACCACAATCATTTACCAAGAAGCGTCCAATTAAACCAATGCACATTCCTAATGCCCAAGCCACAATTCTTTCGTAGTCTACAAACCGTTTCTCATTTCACCTAGGAGATTTTGGATCTATCTTTAACACCCTTCCATAAAAAAAAATTTGTTAGATAATGACAATCTCCTTTATCACCAACTTCGGTGCCTTAAAAAAGGATAACAAGTGTAATGACATAGAACTAAGAACGGCATTAATCAAAGTTACCCTGCCTCTAATCGATAAGTACCTATGCTTCCATGACGTCAACCTATTTTTAAGAGCCTCTAATACATCCTTCCATGCACTAGGCTTCCTTGGGTTAACACCTAACTATAACCCAAGATACTTTAATGACAAGCTACCAATCTTACATTGTAGGAACTCTGCAGCCAAGTTTTCAAAGTCATCGCCAATGTTAATCCCCAATATACAGCTTTTATGAAAGTTAATTTTCATACCTGAAATTAACTCAAAGCTACACAATACTTCTTTCAAAGTCCACAAGTTCTGAACCGAAACCTCTCTTATAATCAATGTGTCATCCACAAATTGTAACAAAGAAATATCTAGTCCCTCAACCTCAATCTTCACACCAGAGAACAACCTACATTCTACTGCTTTCCGCATAAGGACTTCTAACCCCTCTGTTGCCACAAGAAAAAGAAAAGGGGCAAGAGGATCTCCTGTTTTAGGCCCCGCCTAATATGAACCTCCAATGTAGGACAACCATTAATCAAAGCTGACAGACTACTCCCACACACACAAGCTTTCATCCAACTGACCCATTTTTTTTTAAAATCCAAAGCTACGTAACATAAACAGAAGATACTTTCACTCTACTGAATCATAAGTCTTTTCATAATCAAGTTTTAACATAAAACACCTCTTGTTATGCCTCCGCACATAATCTACTGCTTCATCAACTACAAGTACACTATCTAACATGTTCCTTTTTGGGATAAAGGCTTATTATTGTTCTGAGATTATTGAATCTAGAACCCCTTTTAACCTATTTGTCAAAAGCTTGAAAACAATCTTATAAAGACAACCGAGCAATGAGATAGGTCAAAAATCAGTGACCTATTGTGAGCAAGATACTTTTGGCACTAAGTGCTACAAAGTAGGATAACAAAGATTTAGGCAATTTTTCATTTCTAAAAAATTCAGCAAGCATACTCATCACTTCTCCATTGATTACTCCCCAAAACCTCTTAAGGAACACAAAATTAAAACCATCAAGCCCCAGACTTTTATTCCCCTCACTCTAAATCATCCTCTCCACTTCCTCCTCCAAAAAAGCATTAACAAATCCTTCATTATGTAGAATAGAGACTCTCGGTAAATCATTAATATCAATAGTAGGTTGAAATCAACCTCTACTACTAAAATGATATGCAAAATAAGATATCGCACCTGCTTTAATATCGTCAACCTCTTCAACACATCTCTCCCTTATTTGAAGCGCATGTATTTTATTTCGTCTCCTTCTCCCGTTAACACATAAATGAAAGAACTTTATATTTAAATTGTCCTCCTTCCCCCATCGCACCCGAGCTTTTTGAACTATGAGACTCTCCTTATTCTTCTTAGCCTTCCAAATATCACCAACCAATATCTGTTGATGCTCATTCTTCACGTCAGAAAGTTTCCTCACAGAATTGTTATCATCAATCAAACTCAACTCTGTTGTTAAATCAGAAATCACCTTATCAACATTTTCAAACACCTCAATATTCTATTTTTTAATGCAATCTTAACATTTCTCAACCTCTGGCTAGCTCTCTGGGCAGCCTATGGAAGAGTAATATCTCTTTGCCACACTTCCTCCACCACCTCCACAACTCCCTTATGAGTCAGCTAACAATTGTTAAATCGAAATGACTTTGAACCCCAGTTAACTACTTTGTGCTTTAGAATAATGGGACAATGATCAGACACATCTCTGCTCAGAACATGAATAAAATTATCTCCCTAATAATCAATCTAAGAACTAGAAACAAGGACTCTATCCAACCTGCTCATCATAGAAGCATCCCCCCTTATCCGTGTAAATTTCTTACCCACAAGTGGAAGATCCACAAGCTCCATTTCCTGAATGAAAGAATTGAAGTCATCCATTTCAGAGATACCATGGTCTGCTTGACAACCCTTCCTCTCGTTCACTTATCTCACAACATTGAAGTCACTCAATATACACCACATAAATTTGCCAAAACCCTTTCTTGTCATGATCAAATCATCCCATAACTTTCTCTTCTCACTTAATCTACAAGACGCATAGACATTCACCACAACACATAGGTTTCTAGTAGCCAATACTTGCAAGTAAACACCTAGGAATCCAGTACTAGAAAAGGAGAAAAATATTTTACCTTTGGATGTATCCCAAAGTGAAAGCATACATCCGTTTCTGCCAATGGATGGTAAGGAAATCCAATCAAAATCTATAGAACCTCGCAGACGCGCACATAAGTTGCGATTACATATCTCAAGTTTTGTTTCCTGAATTGCCAAAAACTCTAGATCTTCAAAGCGAACAATCTCACACACCTTCTTTCGCTTCACCTCGCTCCCCAATCCTCGACAATTAAACAAGCCAATCTTTATTTAAAATCAAAGCGAACCCTATGTGTATTCGCAATAATTCTGTCGGGTACCTCCATCACAATAATTCTGCCAATGGATGGTAAGACAATCCAATCAAAATCTATAGAACCTCGCAGACGCGCACATAAGTTGCGATTACATATCTCAAGTTTTGTTTCCTGAATTGCCAAAAACTCTAGATCTTCAAAGCAAACAATCTCACACACCTTCTTTCGCTTCACCTCGCTCCCCAATCCTCGACAATTAAACAAGCCAATCTTCATTTAAAACCAAAGCGAACCCCATGTGTATTCGCAATAATTCTGTCAGGTACCTCCATCTCAATTAATCCAATGTACAACCATACCAACATTCATGCCAATAAAGAAGATCAATTTAATACTTCAAATATGTTAGATAAAATGAAGGATCCATTTTCAGTAGTTCTAAAAATTGCTTTTCACCTTAAACCTTTATACTAGCTTTTATTTAAACATGAACAGACAAATGAAATATAATTACACAAAATTTTTATATTATTCAGTTGAAATATAAAAGAGTTTAATTTTAATATATTTTCTCTATAAATTAATTAAAATATATAATAAGTATAAATTTTAAATTAAGAGTTGAATAAATTTTAATTTTTAGGTTTGAGTATAAATACACAAAATTTTATTAAAAATATATTTATTATGTTAAAAATATAAAAGTGTAGTTAATGTTACTACCTTTAGATCTATTTATAATATACAGTTTAATATTTTTATTTTTAAATATAAAAATAAAATTTCTTTTTAAATGCATTAATTGTTTAATTTTTTTTATACTGTAAGATTTGTGTCAGTGGACTATTTACCATTCATCTATTAGAATGAATGCATTTATTCATTTAATTTAATACATTTATTTGACTATTTAATATTGTGAATATTTTTAGAAGAAAATATACCTTTATCACATATAATTACGTTTATTGATATTGATAAATTAAGTATTTGTTTCTTACAAAGAAGACTAAATTTAGTTTTTTGTAAATAAATTTTGCTATTATTAATTTTTAAATTAAGTTTTAAAGGTTGAGGTTAAATTTTTTAATTTTTATTATAAAAATTTAATAATTTTTGGTTATATAACAATAACAATTCATCATTAATATTATTAGAAGATTTTAATTAACTTCCTTTTAAAAGAGGTGCATATTTCCTCGTTAAAAATAATTAAATTCATAAGCTTAATGAATCATTTAATTGACTAAATTTGAATAGTAAACAAATTATCGAGTTCATTTCCAAATTGCTACTGCAGGTCATGTTAATCATGTTTATCATTAGTTTTACCGTACCCTTAATTATTTGGTTATTATTGAAATTGAAATATAATTGGGCAAATTGGTGCCATGAGTTTCTTACAAGACGCCAAAGCCGTTTCGATTATAAAATCGCCGACACAAACGAGTGGTATTTGGAAATGGACATTTGGAGACTGCCTTAACTTTTACTACATCTTTTGTTGAAAGAAAAAAAGGTTAATTAATGGTGCCAAATAAGTTACACGAGTTAAAAAAGATGAGTAATAGAAATTGATGATTTTTTAACGAGTCACATACAATAAAAAATTTAATAAATAATGTTATTTATTAAAAATTATATTTTATAGTGTTAATATTTTATAATTTTTAATAAAATAATTGTATAAACTTTTATTAAGTGTCTCTAAACATATTAAAAAACTTTTTTTGGTCAACTACACGTTGAAAACCTGGTAAACAAATATGCCGATAGTTTATAATTAATTTATGCAAATTGTAATTCTATTCCTCCTTTTACCAAAAAAAAGTACCAAGAACACTTTATTTTTAGTTTTTGGTGATCAAGAACATTATTTATTTTGGTCAAACAATAACAGCTTATAGAAACGTTTTGGGCCAAGTTTTTAGAATATGATGACAGCTGACGACTCCTAGAATTCATAGTTGGGCCTAGCGTTTTTGGGTTACTTTTCACATCTATTGTTTTCGCTAATAACACTATCCCAAATTTTGTATTGCAACAAAAATTTCCTTGTGTCTGTTTAACCAAAAAAAAAAAGAAATTATCCCTGTATGATCACACCACCCTGCTCCCTCTGAAGGACTCAAATAGAACGCCAAAAAATTTTAAGTCGGCTTCAAATGAGGCGAGGAAAAGTGTGAATTAGGAGTTAGAACATTTTCATTCTAATATTTGAAAAACTCCAAAGAAAACACAAGATAAAGAGTAAGACCAACAAAACAAGAACAAGACCAGAAAGACTAAAAACAAGAAGTCAAGAACAAGAGCAAGCGTCTTTGACCAGAATGTCCACTGCACCAATCTCTGTTAAAAGTATCATATAAACATTCTCAAACCTAAACATATAATGCTCTATAGTGATAGAACAATTTGGCAAAACAGTATTAACGATAGATCAATTTAATGCTAATCATATACCCAGTTAACACATTGGTGGCAACAAGCTGGAAACACTAGCTTTGAGGATCATCCAGACATAAAGAATCATCTTTTAGATAAAAATACAGTTCTCTGAGAACAGTTATCGCTTTGACAATTACTAGAAAAAGCAACCGGAAGCCCTTCACTATAGAGGGTGTTAGGCATTTCTTAGATCAATGTTAAATGATTTGAACGAAGTAATTTATACGCTGCATGGTAAACAAGCACAGCAACTGAAGTCAAATAGGCTAAAGCAGTCGAATAATTTATTAGGATTGCGGAGGCCTAAGTTGGTTTCTTCTCTTCTCTTTTGGTTTCTTTCTCTTCTCTTTACTTCTTAATGATAAAATTAATTCGTAGTGAACCAAGTCATACTATAACTTGGAGGAAAGACTATTTAGCAACTTTGACCAATTCCTGGCCTTAACAGGAAAATCATTTCTTTATTAGATCCAGATGAATGGAAATTACTGTTAAGTTTTCTTTCACTTGTAGATCGAGTGAGGATGTGACTTCAATTTCTATTCGCTTTACTTTAGATTCATTGGTGACATAATGTTAAATGTTAAAACAAACTTACTCTGTTAAAAAAGAGTTTGGCTTTGAAATCATCGCTAAGTGGTTCACGCAAGTGTTGGTTTTGGAAAGAAAAAAATAGTATTAATTATAGATATTTAAACAAAATCGTAAATAACTAATATTTTCAAGTCATGTTAATTCTTTGATATATGAATTTAATAAATACTTTTACATGTCGGTCGTGGAAAGTATTGACAATCGGAATTGGAAAATAATGTAACATGGGTGAAAACACTAAATTAATACTACTTAAGCAAATGAATAATATAGCTAAAAAGATTTATTATACCATATATGTAAGGACAAAATATAGATGCAAAAGTATAGATATTTTTAGTGTTATTCTCCTGTTAAAATTAGAGTTTTATTTTAGTGATTTATAATAACATTAAATATAAATATTTTATTAAAATAAATTTTTAATTTTAATTGAAATGTAAGTTTTATCTTATGCGTAAATTGTCAATAATAAATGCAAGTAAAAAAAAAACAGTTAAGAAGATATCAATTTGATTCTACATTTTTTTTTAAATGACATTGTTATAGGATTAATTATTACATTATCAACGTAATTGAATGATCTTATAGTACATTGTTTATATTAATAGTGCATCAGACTTTCAAAGAAATATTTTTTAAGTTTATTTGTAGACATGTAGTTTATTTAAATCAAATATGTATGTTCGCTTTATAGTTTTATACATTTATCCTAAATTAAAAAAAAAAAAAAAGTCATTTATATCAGGATACTTTGCTACGTTCAAGTCAAATAATTAGGGCCTGTTAATTTTACGCTAAGAATTAATTTCCCATGCCATAGGAATCACTGAATATAAAATTTATAATTAAAATTATATTGAATATATATATATATATATATATATATCTGAGTTATGTTTAGTATTAATAATTTAGTATTAATTTTACCTAATATTGAAATAAATAAAACAGTTTTTGCATAAGGTGTCCCGAAACCAAGCCAGACACGCACCCAAAAATCAAAGGTTAGTTGGGCAATGTTAAGTTGACATCAATTCTTCACCATACCGGCAACTCCGTCCCTATACACTAATTCATAACCAGTCGCCACGTAGAGAACCTAAGTGACAGCTTGTTATTTTATCATCACTCCCACACTCACTCACCCTCAATGCTACCATAAAGCAACACGTCCTCTATTGTTTTATGTTTCAGATCGTATTCGCTTGTCGCTCTTTCTCTTCCAGTCTTCGCTATTCTCACTGGTTAGATACCTCTCCCTCTCTCTCTCTCTCTCTCAATGGAAATGGGTTTTTTCCCTCTTTGATTTTGTGAAAAACACTTATCTACAATTGGTGCTTTCCATCATGAGATTTTGTGATTCCTAGGTGTGTTTACCATTTAAAAGACACCATTGCTGATAAGAAAGCCATATACCCTTGTTATTCCATCGCTTTGCATCTTGTTAAATCGTCAAGGAACCTTTTGTTTCTACCCTAAACTTTAATTAATCCGATTTGATATTCTCAATTCTGATTTTATTTTAAATTCATTTGGCAAATGACGAGTTATAAACTTATTTTTAATTCCAAACCTGTGAAGGGTACATGGTCAGTTTGTTTGTTACTCAGTTAACTATGTATGTAATTTATGTTAACGAGTTGACTTTTTTTTTTCTGGTCATTACTTGTGTGATATGAATTTTATGCCATGTTAAATTCGGCTTGTTGATGGCGTTGCAGAGCATTTGCAATCACATTGAATATGGCTGATGCTACACAACCTAATGCTGAGTTGTTGGAGTGGCCAAAGAAAGATAGGCGCCGCTTCCTGCATGCTGTATACCGTGTTGGTGATCTTGATCGCACCATTAAGTAGGATTTTGTTGACTTGGGTCGTTGAAATGCACCATGATGTGTGTTTACTGTTAAGATGCTCACGCTTTTTTTACTGTTATATCAGGTTTTATACTGAATGTTTTGGTATGAAGCTTTTGAGGAAAAGGGATGTTCCTGAAGAGAAATATGCCAATGCTTTTCTTGGATTTGGACCTGAACAATCACATTTTGTTGTGGAATTAACATATAGTATGTTGCGCTTTGATTCTTATTTATATGTTAGCTTTTCTTGTTACATGTATTCTACTTACTATCTGTTATGTGTTGAGGATTGAATTGGACATGGCTTATATGCACATGTTATTTTTTGGTCAGATTATGGGGTGACGTCGTACGATATTGGAACTGGCTTTGGACATTTTGCTATTGCAACTCCAGATGTAAGCTAGAGTCTACCTTCACAAAAACTTGACCATTTATTTGCCACTTCTGTACTGAAATTTACGTGTGCATCTCTTCCACTCATAGGTTTACAAACTGGTTGAAGACATCCGAGCTAAGGGTGGAAACATCACTAGGGAGCCTGGTCCAGTTAAGGGTGGGACCTCTGTTATAGCCTTTGTCAAGGATCCTGATGGATACTCTTTTGAGCTCATCCAAAGAGCTTCAACCCCTGAGCCATTGTGCCAAGTAATGCTTCGCGTTGGTGATTTAGAGCGCTCAATTAAGTTTTATGAAAAGGTAACAGCCCGTGTCATTTTTTTTTCATGAGCATGCCTTTTAATATGATTAAACCACTTTCATTTCTTTCAAGACTGTTTTAGGTTCTTCACTTATAGTACAGTTGCTTAAATATTATTGTCTGTCAACTTAAATTTTATAAATTTGTCATTATTACTATTTGATTTCGGTGCAGAAGCTTTACATTCTGCTGATATTTTGATGCTATACTTCTTGGTATCACCTCCCTAAGATTAAAACAAAAGAATGAAGTCCATCTGATGATCTCCTGCCTTGATTATGCTCCAATAGGAAACTAGCAAAACAATTCTAGGATGTGGGCCGAAACAGTGGAAATTTTGCACGAGGATTTTGAGAAATCAGTTTCATTGATTAGTTTCAAACTTTCAATGCTAGAAGTAGAGCAACTACATTGTTGTGGTTTACTATTTGTTCAAGCAACAACAAAAAGACTGAATTATAACTTCTATATTGTGTGGCATTGAGGATTTGGTTTGGGTTGAGAACTGTGAGCTTTTGCTTGTGACGGACACAAGAAACCATGACACTGCATTTGATACACTTTGACTTTTTTATATCTTGAATCATGTGGGTTTAACTAACTTAGGCTTTGTGCTTATCTTATAATATTTATTCAGGCTTTGGGTTTGAGGGTGGTAAAGAAGGTTGATAGACCGGAATACAAGGTGAGTTTCCTCCTGAACTTGATCTTAGGAATGCACTTACTGGCCAGGACATACTTCATGCCAGTGCCATTACTTGCTTATGATCTTCCTAAATTATGATTCATATTCTACAGTACACTTTAGCCATGCTTGGGTATGCAGAGGAGCATGAGACAACTGTGTTGGAGCTGACGTATAACTATGGTGTCACGGAATACACCAAGGGAAATGCTTATGCACAGGTTAGTTTATGGGTTTTATTTCCTTCCAGCGGCCTTGTTTTGTTATCTTAACACAAAACACGTCTTTACTCCTTGATGATAAAATTTGTTTGGTGCATATAACAGGTCGCTATTGGTACAGATGATGTATACAAGAGTGGTGAGGTAGTCAACATAGTCACACAAGAGCTTGGAGGGAAGATTACTCGGCAACCAGGGCCGCTCCCTGGCATTAACACAAAGATCACTTCTTTCTTAGATCCAGATGGATGGAAGACTGTGAGTTTTTTTATATTTTTGCTTTTTCTTTAAATTTATATTGAATGAGGGTGTGACTTAATTTCAATTTGTTTTACTATAGAATTATGCATATGAGCTGAAATAATAGTAGATAGTTTTAACAGAACCTTGCTTAATCTCATGTCTCAACTTATAAATATCCATTCATGTTTAATATTTAGTATCTGTTTCGATAATTATGCTTCATCATATGGAAGCATAGTTGAGGTAAATAAATGAAGTGCACTGCATTTTGAACATGTGCCATATTTTTGTGTTAAATTCGCTGCCATCATCAATGGTAGGTAGCTGATATGATTGATTTTTGTATGAATTTTGTAGGTCTTGGTTGACAATCAAGATTTTCTGAAGGAATTGGAGTGAAGAGTCCTGGCTTTTCATGAAGTATGAAGTCCTAATACTATTGTATGAATAAGTTGTCTGGCTTGATGAGTGATCAGCATGTGGTTATCGGTGTAATAGTCTTTCTGTATGGTTTCTCTGATGTGGTGGCTATAGTTGACTCGAGACTCAGCTGAAACTTCCATTTGCTCATTATCCTTATCAAGTGCTTGTTTGCGATTCTAGACAATCTGAAGTGACATCCCACACTCCCTTGCCACACATTAGCTTGCTTGTCCCATAAAATTTCTACCACTATCAAATAAAAAATGTATGAATTTATTAACTTAAAAACATAAAACTTATACTTTTTTCATTTAGTAATGAAGTAGATACATAAAAACAAAAGGTAAGAGGATTTATAATTATTCAAAAATAAAAATTGAAGTTTCACTTTAAAAACCAATACTAACCTTTAATATCAACTATTATCTCAATTACTGAAATGAAATTTAAATTTTGATTAATATCAGAAAGGTTTAAAAGTATTGTACTTGAGTATTTTTGCTTCTATTTTGTAATTCAATATTTTAAATGACTTTTGCTTTGTGCTACAATTACACGTGTATGATTTGTTTTAATAATATTTTGAAATCATATAGAAAATAAACTAAAACATTCAGCATCTTTATTTTGATTTTTTTTTTTTTTAAGAACGCAACGGAATAAGTAACATTTGACAAATATAGTTTGAATACTGTTTTAAGCTCAGCAGGAAAAAGCTAAACGAATCATCAAAACACATTAAACTGAAAAAAAAATTATAACTGAGCCGGATTAATTGGCAGGGTTGTTCCAGCTAATTTTATGATTTTTCATAGGTATGCCGAATGCTTATAAGGAAATAAAATTCTATTTTTATTTTAAATATAATGCTGAAGCAATTCAGTCTGATTTAAATATGGCAATGTATGTTTAAAAAATTATCATCCTAAATAAATATATGAACAAATAATGATATTGCACCTAAAAAAATAATGACATGGAAGCAATATTATGAAACAATATGCATAACATTAAAAATAAAATTTGGGTTTCAATAATCTTCTTTATATTCAAATCAGATGTCTTGTGCCCGTTCTATTATAAAATAAAGTTATTATAATTATTGAGATATAAAAATATGAAAATTTAAAATTTAGGGTTTGTTTGAATAAAAAAATGTTTTATTTTTATTATCTATCTTTGCCTTTAATAAGAAATTATTTTTTTTTCAAAAGAATTGGATAAAAAATAGTAAAAATATTTTTTGGTGTTTTTTAAAATTAAAAAAGAATGAAAAAAGAGTTACAATTTTATAATTAAATTTTAAAATTATAAATATTTATTAAAATCAAATAGTCCCTTAATAAAAATAGGGATGAGAATGAGTTAAGTGGAGCTAAGGTTAAGGTTAAATGAATTTGACTTACTATATAAAACTAAAGTTTTAGTTTAGACCTATAATATGGAATAGGCCAAATTTTTAGGTTGATTTGACCTTTTTAGAAATCTGACTTGGTCTAATAATTTATTTAATATTAAAACTTTCAAATAATACTAAAAATTTAAATTTAACAGGCCAATAGGCCAACGAGCTAGCAAGCTAAAAGGCCTAGTAAAATAAAAAATATATGACAAATAATTATATTTAAATACTATGTTTAGTAAAAAAAATTATACATAAATAGCTTCACAAATATCATATTTCAACATGATTATATTCAATAAACCTACAAAATTTTATATCTCAAATAATCTAAAAAGTAACATGTCTATATTATGTAATTTTGAATACCAAGTAAAGAATTATGATATTTATTACGAAAAGAAAACTAAATATGATACTAGAACGTAGAACTCAATAAACAATTGTCAAAAATAACTTTTATTTTTAGTTTATTCAGTCATGAGATTAAGAAGTTGAAAAGTATTTAAATTAAAAAGACTAGAATATAAATTAAGAAAGAATAAATTCTAATGATGGATTAAGATATTTTAGAAATCAGACAATATTTTAATTGGTAGTTTTTTTTTACAATAAATTTTAATTTTGGTACTCTAATAGTATAATTATAATTATTATATTATTAAAGTATAAGTACTAAATTATATTATACATTACATATTATATATATCTATATATGTAATTTTTTTGGATAATTATATTTACATTAAATTGTTACAAATAAATAAAAATTATAAAATAATATAATTATTTAATTAGGCTAGCTTAATAGGCCTATTTTTTTTAAAAGTTTTATGTACCTCTTTATTTAAATAGATTTTTTCAAAAGTCTAAACTTAACTTTTTTAATAAACAAGTTGAGACAGGTTAGGCCTTAAATAGACTAAGCTATAAGTTCTGGATGAGCGATTTAATCTATTCTCATCCTAAATAAGAAAAATAGAAAAAAAGAAAATTTATTTCTTAGATACCAACTTGCAACTAGATAAAAGTTTAAAAAAAAATTATTATATAAACTTACATATATGGTTCCTTTTTTATCCTGTTTAATTCTACATAAAATAAAAAATTAATAAATACTAAAATTTTATTAAAAAAATATAATATTTAATTGTATCAATATATTAAATTTATAATATTTAATATAAATTATTATATTTAGATTTATATCATATCCATTATTACATATTAAAAAATTGATATATAAAACCTATAACAATATGTTAATCATTGTTACAAGTAAGGGTGAGAAAGTGAGTCAGTCATGTTAAAAGCTTTTTATAAAGTGAGTAAACTTGTTCTATCTTATTTTTTAAAGTGAGTTAAATTTTTTAACTCAATGTATTTAAAGGTGTGTTAACAGACTAATATGTCAGTTTATTACAAATAAAAAATAAAAATGAGTTGCAAGATTCAATGGGTTAACGAGATCATTTGTCTAAAATTAACATAAAATTAAAAATATTTTAAAAAAATTATATTAATAATAACTAATATTAAACTAATAATTTTTTAAAAAAATTTAAAAATGGGTGTACCAGGCCCTCCCAGCTTATGCTTTGAGGATGAGCTAAATGGGCCAAAAAATCCGCCCACCATTTTCAATGGACTAGGCGGGCTAACCGTCGGGCCTGGCTCAATTTGTCAGCCGTCAGCCGTTGGGCATCGGGCTTGCAACTGTAAAATATGCCATGAGAATAATCAGGGCAAATAGCCTATCAATTACTAGCCTCCTTCGGATAAGTCAGCATCCCAATTCACAACTATGCACTATCTATTGAAAATATAAGATCACTGAGAAATAAGCCCATAACACACAGCACGAATCGTGAGAATTGACAGCATAAGTACACACATACTGAAATGAAAGAGTTTTAAATAAAAGGAAAATTGAAATAAGAGAAAGAGTACTCTACTTAGCAAACCTCTTTCGCTTTTATGAATTGATTGGATGCCAAATTTGATAAGGGGCTTTTAGGTTTTTTTTATAAAACAATATTTCAGTAACAAAGTAATTCTTTTAAAATTAACTATTAAGCATTGAATGGAAAAAGGAAAATTATAATAGATTAGGTTACATGTGGGTGTACCATGCTTAATTTGATAAATGAGGATACAAAATATAACTAGAATACATATCCTTATGCACTTTAGAAACAAATTCACTCCAAAAAAGAGTGTTGTCTTTAGAACAATGCAAAACCAATGACATGGACAACGGCTAAACCCACCATAAATAAGATATCAGCATATACCTTTGGCTAGTTTATTGTGTAGGACAGGAACTTAAGAATTTAATATATCATACAACTGCTAAGGGAAAGTTAGTTTAACTTTAGGGAGCTAAGATGTCAAACAGCGGTGCAGCTTTCTTGGCAGCAAATTGTGATGAAAAATGTTATTTATACATTTACCAAATTTTGATGAAAGCTCAAGCTGCTCCTACACTTCCCCTCCCTGAAACTGTAATTACAAGATTTCCAAATTTCTAACGCTAAGTGAGTTTGCATGAGGAGAAATTGTCTTTTCAGAAAAAGGTTTTTTTGTTTTAGTATAAGGTGTTCTCAATTCTTATCATTTTCTAATGAAACCAACCCAATTGATATTAATATTTAACATATATTATGCACATTACTAATGGAAGTTGGTCCAAGTAACAAATGGTTCGATATTACTTAAGCAAAGTTTCAAGTACATACCAAATTTTTGTAAACTCACCTACCATATCCAGTTGTGCGACTTGGTCGGATCGGGATTAAACTTGATGGGAAACAAAAAAAAATATTTGTGGTGATTTGGTGTAGCAGTTCATGAAAAAGGAAACTCGAGCTGCTTTTGTCATTTATTTATTTGCCATTATTGAATGGAGCATTGTTTTTATATATAGTTTGCAAACTGAGAAGGTAAGTTTCTACTGCAATTACTTTACTATAAACGGTTCTAAAATGTATATCATGGGTCTAAGATAAAAAGCCATAATCAAGAAATCAAAAGCAACTATAGAAGCTACTATCCAGGACCTTACAGTTGAAGAAGGTATCTAATTTTGATGCTATTACATCTGCAGTTGATAGAAAATAACTAAATGCCTGTACTAGAATTCACCCCATCTGTTAAAACTATGATGACATTCCAAAACTCCTCCTTTGGAGATTAAAAAAACTTTGAATGAGGTAAAAGGGAAAATGTTTTCAAAGGATATTATCTACTCTTGTATCTGATTCAAGATGAACCTCTGGCAGTAAGGGCTTACACCAAGATCAGTAAAATGTACAGCACGGACTGTTGCTCCTTGCTAAGAAATTTGACATTTATAATCTATTCATGGGATAACAACCAAGAACACGAATAAATCTTGTATATTCCTGTAATGAGGGAAAAAACCAAAAACAATTTGAGTTAATATTTAACAGCTACATTGGAAGAGTCCTAAAAAGGTTTAAAGCCAGCAAAGAAAAAGATACCAATAGTATTCCTTTTGCAAACATAGTGAGGACTGCTGGAATTTTAAGAATATACCATGCACAGATGTAGCACAGAAATTTTAAGAATGTTGCATGCAACTGATTTGGTGTGTTTTGGGAGAGAGGGCTCCACTTGGTGGAGCATTTTTGTCTAACTTAGATGTTTTTGTTTTCCTATCTATCCAACGAAAATAAAAACAAAGAAAAAAGGAGAAAATTGAAAAAAGATGCTGCTTCCTAGCAACATTTTGGGACATGTTGGGCCCACCAGCAGGTAGAAACAACACTAATATATGAAGCAGTACAACATAGGATTCTATACATCATCAATCACTTAAGGAAATATCACCATCAATACAACATTGTAGAATGCAAACTAGTCTAAGCCAGAGAAACAATAAAACATGTGAGAGCTGGAATGGACACTCAAATAATTAAAAACAAAAACAAGGTTTAGAACAGGAAAAGGCATTGTTGACTATGAGTTCACAGACAAATAGAATGGTAAGAGAATAATATGATATTACCTGCAAATTTTCTAAAGCATATTGTGCACGAGGGTCTGCCATAGAAGCTTCAAAATCAATATAGAAAAGGTAGTCAAAGTACCTGCCACCAGAAAACTTCATGCCTAAGTCACAGTTTCACAACACGCTTCCACCCAGAATAACAGAATCATTAGTGTACCAATGGAGTATAACAAAACCCCCGTTTCCAAGCTTTACCATCCTATTTTGAACTACATAATTGAAAATATGCTTTTCAGAGTAAAGATACAATATGTTGGATTATCTATTAACTCGAATGACTAAAGAGATTTCTACATATTATGAGCCATCTAATGCCCTCCAATTTTTTCTCTTACTAGCTGTTATGATCATTTAATTGCATTGTCAATCTATATTTTACACGATTCTGCCATGGAAAATCTCAAATAGGAAACAAAATCCATTACTCACTTGGCACTCCTTTCATTTGAATCATCAACAAGCCTTAATGGACACTGCTTCAGTGGACGGCTCTCTATCTGAAATTACTCCAAAGAAATGAGAGCAATGAAGCATAGATTTTAACTTCAAATTTCAATTAATTCTTGTTATTATTATTATTATTATAGCACACCTTTGACAAATCAATGTTCCTCAAAGAAAATACTCCCAGGGCTTTGAATAGTACACCAGGACCTTCTTCTAGACTGAAAACAATGCTAGTCTGGTGGAGAAGCCATGCATTCATCAGTAAATTCTTAAAAAGTAAATATAAAATAACTATTTTTTCTCTACCTTATAGGGCCTGTCAATTCCTGGAATTATAGGCTCTCTTGCAAGTACCAAAAAGCGAGTGATATTATCATCATCATCCTATGAAGATGGAAATGAATCAGCTTAACTTCAATCTTGACATAACCAACAATAACAAACATGTCTTTTGATATAGCTAAAAATGGTGTAAAAAATTAGCAGAAAGAAGTGCAATCTTAAATGCCTTTTCTTTGGACATCCATGCACATATCTGCATGGGTAAGATCCTCGAGCATAGAAAACTAGTATAGAAACTGAACAAAAATATATAAATAAGCGACATGCATCCTAGCTAAGGAAAGCAATAAGTTGGAAGTGCTCATCAATGCATAAGCTCCTAACTCCAATGCGCACATATTTCACATATTAAAACTGCGTCAATAAAAGAAAATCATTCACCAAGACTATAGATGTATTTAGGTAAACAGTTTAATTAAATACTTATTTAAACAAACATTCGATCTTGAAATTTAGTAGAATAAGTTAAAAAGATCTTAATTGTTTTGATAAGTTATACAAAAAAATTTATCGAAACAAATTAAAAAAAAACCTCTCGAAGTGATAAGCTATTTTCATAAGCTCTTCCTAATTCCTAACACCCCTATATGATGTAGTAGCTGAGTCTTCCAAAACATGGAACTGAAGTTTTACCTGAATTCCTTCTGCAAGAATGTCAAGGCCATATATTTTTGCTGCCCTAGAACTTGCAATAGCTCCAGTGTCCCTTATTCCCGTTGAGACCACTGCCTGTCACAGTGTCCCAATAATTATTAGAACCTGCTACACTACAACCTAATCAACGCTTGCTTTTAGTGGAGCAGAGAAAAATTGTTATATACCTTAGCAGCCGCAGCAGTACAATTTGCAGTAATTTTGGCAACACCTAAACCACTAAGCATCATCTCACACTGAGCAAGAGCCTGCAAATAAGAATAAGATCATTATAAAGTTTGTGCAATCACATAAATCCACTTAAGAGATGGCATGTTGAGATAAGCTGACATATCTATTGAAAATATTCATCAAATTATATAGTAGAACAGTGACAGTAAACCTGAGATATAATCCAATAAAGTGTACCAATGTGAGGTTTGTTGGCATCTTAAAGCATGGTTGTGTGTGAAAAAGATGGAAAAGAATTATATTTGACAACCAACCTGAGGATGACTTACAACCCCTTTTAGCTCCTCTTTTCTTACACCTGCCAATCCTAAGAGGCAGTGGTTAACTTGTAACTGCACCTCCCCAACAATGTGTAGTCTATGGCGAAGAAGTAAATCATAATTACGGTGGATGCTTCCACCAACTGAACTTTCAATGGGTAGAACAGCTTTATCTGCTAACCACAACTCAACTGCCTGCAGAAAAGAATATAAATATATCATTGCAGAATCTATTAGTCAATGTATCAAATGGGGGGAGAGAGGTCATAGAGAAACAAGGTGGAACCTTGAATGCAGTCTCAAACTCATCACATGGCACTGTCTCACATTTTGGATATGCTTTAAAAGCTGCATCTTCACTATGTGCTCCTGGAAGGCCCTGTATTAGGTAATTCACTAGTTAGGAGTGGCAGTGATGCCATGAATCTTTTATTTGAAAGAAATACCAACCTTCGTACCTGATAAGCAACCCGCACCTTTGATCCATCTCTTAAAGAAGAAAAATCATTGGCCATTAATGGCTCTGCAATTAAAGAAGTTGCATGATCATGTTAAAAGGAAGGAGAAAAAGGATAGGAAGTTGCATAATATAATTTCCCTTTTTTGCATGCTCACACAACATGTGTATGTGCGTGCATGTCAACATGAACCCACAGTTTGAAGCGTATTGCTATTTCTAAAAAGTAGGGTACAAATCTAAAGATTCATTATTACAAATAACTTTCATACAAGAAACATGGAAGTATAATTAGCTGAGCAGCATTAATTTATTGGTTGAGTGGGGACAATGATCATTCAACTGAACATATGCAGCTGTGATAAAATTCATAATTTCATCATACCGAGTCAAGATTTTAGATAGTGTATCACCTGAGTTCACCATTCCACATGGATCTTAAGAAAGAGAACAGATGCAGTACACATGATTAAGCATGAAGAAAAATTTAGTGTCTTACGGCACATTTAGAATGTCCTATTCATGCAAGTGCATTTCCTCAATTGATTTTCTTTGATCTTTCATTTACAAACATAATTAATCATATCACTAACATTAATCTCTTTTAAGGGTGGTATGCATTTCCAACTAATCACTCTAATCCTTTTTATAAGACACTTTTAGATCGTCTATTATATAAAAAAGACAGAGAGAGAGTATTTGAACAACGGAGAGGTGAAGAACGAATCGAGAATAGTCAAGCGTGTGTGTGTCAGAGAGACAGAGAGAGAGAGATAGAGGTATTTTGAAAGACCAAATCCATTAACAGAAACGTGAAAGATTATCACATAAGTATTTTGAAAGATAACAAGAAGTGTATTGTGTAATCACAAACGCTAAAAAGAACAAAATAGCTGCAACTACAAATTCTTTGTAAAAACAAAAGGCATGCATAAAAAAATTATGCCCAAAAAGGTTTATTCAACATAGAAAAGTTAATATGCAAGGTACAATTCTGAGATATGCAAGACTGATATGAGTATGAATAAAATGGTCACATAGCAAAAATCAGTAAAAAAATACAAAACATTCTCAAAATGCCAACAAGCCACAGAAATGCTAAATGTGAGACATGTATAAGTATAACTCACTAGGAAGCAGGTTAACATCCTTGTGAAACCCCTTCAACTCATTTAGCTGAACACGGACCAAAGCAGCATCCCCAGAAGACTCAATTCCATTCACATCAGGCTTCCCGTCTTCAACTGGTGTCAAAGCTCTATGTGCCAAAGCACTCAAACAAGAACATTCCCACTTGCGGCATTTCTCAAGATCACATGTTAAATCGACTCTTATCCTAGAATTAGCACGCTCAAGAGTTGCAAAGCCCAATTGAGGAGGTTTGGAACAACCATTCAGTTTGAGAGCCATCAAACTCAGTTAGTCCAATCTCAAAAGTGTAGAGTCTGATGGAAGTCAGAGAAGAAGTCCACGCCCATCAAAGTGCTTTGGGTTGGTGAAGGATTTCTAGACATGACATGACATTTTCAAGGAGAAAGAAGACTGAGTTGGACCCGCAAAATAAGTAGACAAATTAACTACAAGTTTAAGGATATATAATAAAAATTTATATATATATATATATATATATATATATATATATATATACTATTTTTTTATTAAAGATTATATAATATTATTAAATTTATTATTTTATAATGTATAAAAAAATGGATTTATGTACTACTATATAATATGTATATGATATCAGTTATGAAATGAATTGTACCTGGAATGAAATGAGATATTGGGAATTGAACAATGAACTCACCAGTCACCACTACACAAGACACCTGTTGTAAAAGACCAACGGTTAGGCGACCTGAATCTTATATTATTGTTTCTATCTGACAGTTTTTTCTTTGACTATAAGTCTATATATAATGCTAAAAAGGAACACCACATTCTTCTTTATAATTTTTTAAATATTTTTTAGTTTTTAAATAAATTATTTGTAAGTTACATTGAATAAAATATTTAAAAGTATAAAAAAATATGCTATTAATGGCAGTAAGAGATAAAATGGTAAGGAATGTGGAAAGGTTTGAATCATAATTGTTAATTGTTAGACTTGGAAACAAAAATATATAAAAGTAATATGTAATAGATTTTTTTTTGTTATTTATGTAAAGCTTATTAAAAGATCTAAATGTGGAATGAAGCAGAAATTTTTCTAGTAATTAATTGCTTACTATTATTTTTAAAAAAATTATTATAATATTTTTATATAAAATAAAAAAGTTTTAAAATATAGTAATTATTATTTTAATATTTATTCACTATAAAAATTATATTAATAAGATACTCACTTATTAGTCTTCTAAGTAAATATATATATATATATATATATATTTAATGTATAAATTACTAATTTAACTATATAATTTTTTAATTTAAATTTAAATATTTTAAAAAATTATTGCTTTTGTTCTTTTAGTCACTGTTAAATAATGACGTGATTAACTTAAATATTGTCAGGTGTATTTTTCTGCCATGTATCACTTTTATGTGAAGATTAATAAGTTGAATCAAAATTAATAATTTTAAAAATATAAATTTTGAATAAGTAATTTTGAAGAGAACAAAATTAAATTTTGATATATTTTGACAAAAAACTATATTTAAACATTTATTTTTATAAAACACAATAATTAACCACTATGATTAAACCAGGAGGCTACCTCAAACTTGCTGCTCCTCCTCTTTTTCTATAATTCAATTTATGAATAATTTATTAAAAAAACTGTGAGTCCAAATCATCCCTCCGCTAAATTTAAATGGATACAGGCATACAGTCTTTAATTTTGTTTTCCTTACTGAGTAAAAAACTATTACATACATTGAATAAATTGAAGAATTAGACCACAGCATAATTAAGGCGAAATATTAAATGTTACTAAATAATTACGCCGACAATCATCTCAATTACCTAGTTTAAAAAATATAAAAAATATATTTATTTAATACTTTAAAAAAACTTGAAAATTACTTTCTTATTTGGTTGTAATATAGCAGCTAACAATTGAAAATTAATCCTTCTTAAAATGTGGAGATTATCAGAGTAATTTTTCCCTCTTCTAAAAATATCTTTAAATTATTTTCTTTTATGGTATATAGACACATATTTACCCAGAAATTATTAAGTTGTGGTAAAATTGGACTGTAATTTTCAACAAATTGTATTGATAGTCGCTTAGAATCACTGCCTTAAAAATGAGCTTTACTTAAATTTTTACTCCTGATTTAAAAGTTAATATCACAACCTTGCCACGAAAATACCGAGTCAAATATTTCATTTAAAAAATTTATTTCAAGAAATGTCTACCATCACTCTAATTTAAATAATTTTTATAAAAAATATCTATATTATTAATTTAATCAACAAAAATATTTAAGATAACATTTTGGAATAAAATTAAACAAAATATTAAAGTCATAATAAACATTTAAACACTTAAAACATAAACTGTTACCTTTCATTCCATTTATAAAAAAAAAGTTATTAATACATTTTTTATTTTAATTATAAAAATAAAGACATATTTTTATATGTGCTAATGATTACAAAAATGATACCTTTATTTATTATAAAATTTGTGTAAATAAAGTACTTACCCTTTGTCCATATAATTGGACATATTCATTCATTTAGTATACAAGACAATAATTAATATTATGAATATTTTTTGAATAAATTATAATTTTGAAATTTAATATTACTTTTTATTGGTCTTAATAAATTAAGTATTTATGTGTTATAAATAGAATGAAAGATAGCATTAAACTTTCTATTTAAAGATTTATTCATGTTGAATTTTTTGGGTACATATTCATTTGCAATATTAAGAACGTGTGTTACTGGCCCTAACTCTTCGACACATTCACTTTGCCTTAGGTGTATCGTTCAATATATTAAAAATATGCAAGGCTTAATCAAAATTTTCCTCATTCCACTAGGATTAATGTATAAATTTTCACCTTTCAATTGATTTTTATTGTAATATAATCTCTCAATTTTTAATTGTTATAATTAAGTTATTTTTTTCACTTTTTTTTACATAAAATCCTCATATCTTTAATTTCTTATCAAATAATTAGAGTTTTAAGACAAATTTGAGATAAAATAATTTTAAAAGTTTAAAAATAAAAAAAATGAAATTTGAAAGATTTTGTGAAATGCAAAATTTAAATTTAATATCTTTATTGAGAATTTATGAGTAGGAAGGAATTAAAATGGTTTAATGCATCATGAAGACTTAACAAAAATAAAATGGTAAGATTGTACTGATCGACAAAAATAAACTATACATAACAATTATGTAGATTAACTTTAAAATATTGTAGCCAGCAAGATCGATGATAAAGTCATAATTGTTCCTAATCCTGAATCACGGACTTGATTGAAGATTCAATAAAGTAATTTTGTGATACACGTGAAAATAAATAGTTACATAACATAACCTTGGTGGTTTGAGTTTAGCAAAGGAAAAGAAAAATTATATTTCTTCTAAACAAGAAACTTAAAATAAGTAATGTTAGAAGCCACTATAATTGAGCTAGTGATACAGGGACATATGTAATTTGTATGAAGTTCTATAATAAACTTACATTGTCTATGTCTTTAAAAAAAAAAAAAGTAATGTAAAATTACAATTATGAGGAAATTTGTTGCATTGTTGCATATTTAATCGTCATGTATAGGTTGCTTACCCCAGTAAAACACCATTTTTGGGGTAGGTGAGGATCAAAGCTTACAAAACAAGCTAGATTCTAGCCTTATTGCTAATTTGCTGGGGCCTGTGCTTTAATTAGTCTATAAAACCATCATCATATATAGTCTAAAGTTATCTAATTATTTAACACAAAAATAGTTGGCAGGGAAGACACCTAATTACCAGTTACAATGCATATGCGTTTCCCACATGCTTCACGTCATTGTAACTCTTCTTCATATATTTTTGTTGGTCAGTCAAAGTTAAAAAACTATTGAAAAAATAAGTGTTTTTTAAATATTTTATTATGAGAAAAATATGAAAAATGTAAATTACTACAAATAGTAAATAAATATATAACAAGAGGACAAGCAATAAGAGTACACTTACAATAGAAAAAAAAGAAAGTTCTCCTTCATGTCACTATTTTTTTTTTATAATCTAGGTAACCTGTATAAATAAAAATTTAGAACTCTGAGGGAACTCTTTTGAATATAAAAAATACGAATAACAATGTATTTTTTATTGAATTAAAATGAAAATAAAAAAGTTAATCAGCATAGATAAAAAAAATAAAAATTTCTCTTCCTTTTTTTTAATTTGAATTAAAAAAAATCTATCGTTTATTTTCCCCTGAAACAAACAGAAAGTAAATATGCTCTATTAAAGTTCAAGAAGAAAGAAAAGTAAATAAATGAAAAAGAAAGGGAAAGAAATGAAAATAGATGTTTAGTCTTTAATAAAAAAATTTGTGTGACGCATATAATAAACACTTTAATTAATTGCATGAATGAAAAATGTATCATATACGAATTATAAAATTTAAATATCAACATATAAAGTGACTTGTTCTTCACTTTGTCATGCTTGTCTGTGACCCTTCCGTCATTGTTATGCGTTGGTCAAAGACATTCAGTAAGTGGAGTGGAGGCGATTAATTAACTATAAATTGCGATTTTAGCGAAACTAATAGGTGTGTTAACATTTTTGGCCATTGACAAAATGCCTAATACAAATGCTTTAGGCTATCCAGAGTTAGATCATCTTATACAAGAGAGGGACTTTCACGATTATTTTTCCTTGTCCTGTTTGTTAGTTTTTCTTTTCTTTTCTTTTCTTTTCTTTTTTACTACAGTTCTATTGCCCGTTAATGATAATAAGTCTATACTCCTATAAAACTAGTTATTCTTACTATTATTTTTATATTTAAAAGAATGCCCTTAGCATTGTAAAATTGATAATATTTTTGCTAAAGTATATTTTAGTAGTTGTTATACTGTCTATAAATTTGAGAAAAAATTGTACATCATTATAATTATTTTAATATCTTAAAAATTAAAAAATATTTATTTTTTAAATAAATCATAACCTTATTATTTATTATTATAGAATTAATGGTGGTAATTGTTTTAAATATGAGAAGGCAAAAACCATTTAATTTATAAATTATAATAAAAATTACTGTATATTTTTTTCAAAATGTAAAGGACCATTTTTTTGGTCGAAAGAAGGACAAGTTTAAACTACTGGCCCAATGGTTACCTTCTGGCCCAACGACCGCTCCTCCATCTTTTTTGCTAATGATCTTTAATTTTGGACCCAAAATAAGAATTCTTTAATTACTTTTGTATTGGGCTTATGCAGTGAAGAACTGTAATT